GAGTAAGTTGTGTTATATAAGCCTCCCTTTCACAATTGTCCCACAATATCTTGGCAGGAAGCACCTGGAATGGGGTTCACACATTGTACCCATGTAGGGAATCAAACCCAGGAATGATTTTATGTTTTGTACTATCAGGTTTGGTTTTTTTTGGTATGCCTATTTTCTTAAATTCAAGTGTGTGGGTGTGTGCGTGGGTGTGTATAGCCTAGTGGTTATAGTGTCTGCTAATCGGGGTTCCATTGACAACCTCAGGGTACTATGTGTGAAGCCAATTCTGGAATCCATTGCAGTGATATTGCTAAAAGTGGCGTAAAACTAAACTAAACTCACTTACTACATTGCATTTAATGTAATCATCTAAAACCAAGCAATACAGCCTCTCCTTCTTGATGACCCCTACTGATATCTTCAAGGCAATAACATCACACTCACGATATATCATGAACAAGGCAGTTTTTAATTACATTTTGGGAATTATCCTGACATTTCCTGTAGAGCTGGGGCCAAATATTGACCTCAATGAAGGAATAGATATCATACAATCATCATACATAATACATTGCAATAATACATTTCACAGAACCAAAGATCAATACATTCTTGGAAATAGAGAAGGGAGGAAAATGTTGATGAAAATGTTGATGTAAATGTAACATTTTCCATCAGTGTGACCTTTTTAGCTTGCAGATAGCAGTAACATTTAGCCAGGGCACTGACCATCTAAGCCACTGAATCTTTAGTTGCCTTTCTTATTGGTTAACTATCTCAACAAATTCATCATTTATACCTCCCACACGATAGCAGGCTTTGGTATTAGAATGTTCATCATTACTATGAGGAACAGGAAACCAGTGTTGGGAATTGGTTAAAATCTCATAATTGATGATTGGTTCATTACTACCGATCAATCATCGAAAATAATTGGTTAGCGTCATTTATGAAATTTGTTCATGCACAAGCAAATAAGGAAAGAAAACATGTAATTCTTTTGGGTTTTTTTGGCAAAATTTCATATCTTTAAAGGATGACTAGTATGTTAGGAACGTAAATTTCTTGGAATCTTTAAGATAAATTCAATCCTGACTTTAAACGAACTTGTAGTGCTTCAAAATGTAACAGACAAAACCAACCATGTGAAAAATATTGTTAATGAAAACAAGTGTTCCAGAATTGTTTGTGTTCGATAATGAGAAATTATGATCGATTGCTTGGTCGTTTAGTCACTACGACCAATCTTCGATTATTTCAATTAATCGGACCACCACTACAGGAAACAGCAGATTCCACAGCTTAGAAACAGTGTGTATCATGTTTATAATTTACATATATATATATATGTTTGAGTACGTTTTTATGTTTATTGAGTTAGATATGCAAATTTAACAAACATTGCACACACATCACAACTGATACATAACATATGCTAAGTATTTACATAGTATGCACATTTTCATGTCCATACCCTCAAAAATGCAAAAAATATATGGCTCTTTTCTACAAAGAAAGTGGAACGTAAGTTTATGTAAAAGTTACAACTGTTTTAGTGCTATGATTGTTTTGTGGACAGAAGTGTTGGGAATTGGTTGAAATCTCACAATAGATGATTGCTTCATTACCAACAAAACAATCATCGAAAAAAATTGGTTAGCGTCATTTTTCAGATTTTCCTATCCAGGTTGTTATTCCAGATAGGTATAACATGATGCAACTTACTACTTTAAAGTGATGACTAATATATCATGAACATAAACTTCCTTGAGTCTTAGAGAAACATTCAGTCATGGCTTTTCAGTTAGTAAAGTGAGTTTTCTAAGAATTAAACACGTTTTCAGGCCCTGACAACTTCTAAGATATGTCCCATTGTCAAGGTTTTCAAAGACTAAAACAGTAGTTCCAAAATCGTTTATGTTCGATTATGAGAAAATGTGATCGATTGCTTGGTCGTTTGGTCACTGCGACCAATCTTCGATTATTTCAATTAATTGGAACACCGCTAGTGGACAGTTCCCAGGGTTCTACACAAGACAGAAATGAGCGCCTTGTATGCACAAATCAAAGTATAGATTGGACAAAGGAAAAAAATTATTGGGTCTAAAGGGACAATATTCATCATACCAAATACTTGACAAGATATATGAAGTTAATTCAATTAAAGTAACTATTAAATCTTACAGTAAACTACTAGTGGTGGTCCGATTAATTGAAATAATCGAAGATTGGTCGCAATGACTAAACGACCAAGCAATCGATCATGTTTTCTCATAATTGAACACAAACAATTTTGGAACACTTGTTTGCATTAACAATATTTTTTCACAAGGTTGGTTTTGTCTGTTACATTTCATACGCACTACTAGCTCGTTCCAAGTCATGATTGAATTTATCTTAAAGAGTTCAGGTAATTTATGTTCCTAAGGTATCAGTCATCCTGTAAAGATGTGAAATTTGCAAATGCATAGCGTGCAATTTAAAAAAAACAAAGAACGACATGTTTTTTCATTATTTTCTGTGCATCAGGAAACATAACCAGAAAAATTTGATAAATGACGCTAACCAATTATTTTCGATGATTTATGACTGACTGACTGAGTTTGGTTTTACGCCGCTTTTAGCAATATTCCAGCAACATCACGGCGGGGGACACCAGAAATGGGCTTCACACATTGTACCAATGTAGGGATTGAACCAGGGTCTTTGGCGGGCGAAATAGCGCTTTAACCACTAGCTACCCACAGTTGCCCCTCAATGATTTATGAGATTTTAAACAATTCCCAACACTATATAACTACACAACACCATTTCATCACTTTATCATTGTTTATGGGAAACACAGTAGTCTTATATTTGCTAGGACTACCCTGAAAAAGTAAATACATTAGGGATCCACTTGGCCCCTTGTATTATAGGTCAAGGACAAACCCTGAAATATTGAAGTCAATATTATAATGGTCTTGCATATTAAAAATGACTATTAGGTACCTATGAAGAACTGTCAGCTGAATAAATGCTGAGAATGACATGTAGTGTTCACTCAGTTTTTCATTGCCATCTTTTTGTACTGACTGACTGACTGAGTTTGGTTTTACGCCGCTTTTAGCAATATTCCAGCAACATCACGGCGGGGGGACACCAGAAATGGGCTTCACACATTGTACCCATGTGGGGATTCGAACCCGGGACTTCGGAGTGACGAGCCAACGCTTTAACCACTAGGCTACCCCACCGCCCCCCATCTTTTTGTAACACAGTGTTTTGACATCATAAATATGAATAACAGCATATGCTTTAGAGTTAGTGTTGGGAATCGGAAACCAAATCCACTATCGATTATCGGAGGATTGTGGTGAACGATTATTAATTATAATCGAAATATATACATTTTTAATGTAATCACCAATTTTAAGGGTTTTCTCCAGGTTTTTTTCTAATTACTAGTTTCTTTTATAACTAGTGCAGTCATGCAATGAAATGCACACCTGCAAGAAAGACACTGGAATTGTAATTAAACAATAAAAGTGGTTAAAATTTTACAATGTGCATAGCTTTACGCTGTTGAGCGCATGTTTGTTCGTGAATATTCATCAAATTTGATTGTTAGTTTACTTCATTCAAGGGGGTTATACAAAAACAACAGAATTCTGATAAATCAAAAATATGTTTTTTACATTCGATAATCATTTTTAATCCTTCTTTCGATCGATTTTCGATTATTTTCGATCATCGGAACATCACTATTTAGACGTACATGTATAATGATCATGATGATAGAAAGAGATCTCCACAAGATATGTATCCAGTTAATACGGTACACTAACAACTAATGTCTGAAATGAACATATTTTACAAAAAAATTGTTCATAATCAAAAAATGTTTATATAATGAAAAGGAGCCCTGAGACTTCTTCAATTTCAGATTTCCCGAAACTGTGGAAATCTAGACTTGCCATATATTCTAGACTTTGCATGGGCTTTTTTAGATATATTTGTTTCAGGGTCTGTATGACAGACTACTAATACGGGTGTGATACGATTTGTATCACAATACAGAACTTTTATTAGCTTAGTTCATAACCTCTCCCATTTTGAAAATAAATCACAACCCTGGATCACTGGTTTCCAAACACAAAAGCTTGGGGGCACTGTGCAGATTCTGCTATTTATAGGAAACCAGGAAATACTAGAGAACCTGTATAAACTTGGTTGTCTTGCAACCAGTGCCAGGAATCTGTGTATCTATAGTATACATAGAAATGTTTGCTTGTATCAGCATCTCTTCATCTAATATGCATATACGGGGGGTAGGGTAGCCAGTTTAAGGGATTAAAGCCTTCGCTCCTCACGCCGAAGACACAGATTTGATGGGTGTAATATGTGAAGCCCATTTCTGGTGTCCCACGCTATTGCTAAAAGGGTTGTGAACCAAACTCACTCATTAATGCATATCCGGAATACTCGGAACAGCATATTCTAAACAATGCTGAAACAATCATCCAGATTCATTTCTTATACCAACTGTGACATATTACCTTATATAATCCGTCATTGTGAACACTAATGGACATATCTGGCATATAAAGCTTGCAGGAGCTAAAATTTCAAGGCAAGACACCCTCTCGTTTCCGATAACAGGGCACAGGTGATTTCGACCTACTAAATCGATCGTTGTTTAAGAGTTTTAGGCGATCTTAAATACGTCAGTGTAAAGTACATATATACGTCTGTAAACATTATACCCCTGTGTAAACACCTTTCCCAGGCTATCCAGTTTCTCACCTGTCAAGTTTTGCAAAAACATCGTAACAAATGATATCCCTAAATATTGAGGATCTACATTGCCAGAAAATGTCCTCACATATATGACAATGAAAAGTAACCATACATATTCTCACTAATCTCAGTGTCCGAATGTATCATTTCATGATTTTATGTCATTTCACCTGTCGCACCTGCAGCGTTCTGCACCTTGATTGCCATACTGCCGTTTAATTAGTCCTTACCTTGATGGGACGGAACTTGACAACTTCTATTTCCACCATGTCTTTGTTGATTACGAGTTCAAACACAGTAAGTCTTATGTCAACAGTGAAATAACTCGAGTTGGCACACGGTCAAGATGAAGACAACACTATTTACCTGATGCTATACGTTTCACAACTAATGATATATATCAGTGCATTCCGAAACCTTCTGTTGGCTTCCGCGCGATAAAATCAAATAAAAACAAGGAACTAAAATTATTGGGTATACAGTAGAATAGATGGGATTTGGATAATTACGTCTGCACATCTTATTAATATACGCAACAATGCTTCACTCCTGATAGGTGCATCACCTTTGTTTGTTCAATTTTGAATGAGGACGGACGGAGAACTAATTTCCACCATTTTGTTTCCAACTATATTTCTGGATGTTAGTAATGCACTATCTGTCATATAGCCACAGTCGATCAGAATCCTTCGGTAGGTATAAACCGAATTAGCCAGAACATGTTGAAAGTTGTTGGGAAAGCACTCCATACCTGAGAGCTGACACACTTCCGCATGTCAGAGGTTAGAATTAATGCATACCGTTGTGTTAGCTCACAGATGTTTGAAGCGGTGAGCGGTGGCTTCGGAAAGTTACACTTTCGAAATGTTGAAGCGTTACTGCTAGATATGGTCTCCGATTTGTAATTATGAACTTATGATTTCTTTAAACACAGACAACTTAAGACTTTATGGGTAATTTTTTATTTGTATTTAAGTGAACACACTTCGCTTACATGAGAAGATAAGGGTGGTTAAAGGTTCAGTTTGAACGGGTGTGCCAGATCAGGTTGGTCTGACTTTTAAATTTGTTTGTTCTGAATGACTGGCCTCAAAGGGAACGCAAACATAAATATGTGTTGTTATATAAGTCTTTTTGAAATGGGGTAGCCTAGTGGTGGTTAAAGTCTTTTGAAATGGGGTAGCCTAGTGGTTAAAGGTCCGCTCGTTACGCTGAAACGCCTGGTTCTACTCCCTCGCATAGGCACAATGTGTGAAGCACTTTTCTGGTGTCCTCTGATATTGCCGGAATATTGCGGCGCAAAACTAAACTCACTCACTCACTTTAATAAAGCCTATTTTTGTTTTCTGGTGTCCCCCGCCGTGCTGTGTGTGCGATATAGATAAATTTCGAGCGACAAGTAGTATTCATTTCCAGCAAATATATGTTATATGCGATGATATTTGTAGTGCTCATGACATGAAGTCATGTATTTTTGTCCTATATCTAGTGCGTGTTTGGACATCGTAGTTCGACAGAATTTGAAGTGTAAAATCCTCCCATACCAATTCTTTCCTGGTATAAGTGTTTGTAAAAAATAGTTCGTTAGCTGACAATAAAAATACATGGTTCCACCAGTTGAAACTATAAATGTGTTTAACAATACAATTCATTTTAAAAACAGTAGATACTTGATTTTAAGTATTTTGTTTCTTCCCGAAATTCCTACATTCAACTTCGGCATAACGCGAAATAAAAGGAGGGCACGGGTGGCACGGTTGAATCTGAGGGAACGTCAGACACCTATGATCTGGGTTCGAATCCCGTTTCTACCGGATTGTACTTCACGGTTTGTTGAGTCCATATCCGAGCTCTTAAGTTTCATCGACCTGGTAAACTCCATATACCTACTTCACTTTAGGCTTCCCTCACCCTTCACCCCCACACCCCCACACACACCGGTGTACTACACAGTCCCTGAACCACATTTCCCCTGCCCACCCCTAAAAAGCCCTAAATAAAAAGCAAGTCTATTTCAGGAAGCTCACACGCCGTGGTGTAAACCGGTGTACTGTCATAAGGAGATCAGTGAGCCCCGCCTCAGGGTACTTGACCCTTGCAGGCACGTGTGTCTAAAGTATTATGTCTCACAAACAGGGTAGATTACATAACGGTTCTTCCTGTGCACTTATACTGATTGAACGGTCATATTATATACCTGCCAGTCATATCATTACACGCCTCAAAGGAAATAATAGAGCGTTAAGAAGTGCTTCAGGTACTATAAGAGCGAAAAAGTCTCGATAAAGTTGGTGTCTAAATGGTGGACTGACTGACTGACTGAGTTTGGTTTTACGCCGCTTTTAGCAATATTCCAGCAACATCACGGCGAGGGACACAAGAAATGGGCTTCACACATTGTGCCCATGTGGGGAATCGAACCCGGGTCTTCGGCGTGACGAGCCAACGCTTTAACCACTAGGCTACCCCACCTCCCCTCAAATGGTGGAACGTTGAGAAGTACTTCCGGGACTATAAGGGCGAAAAAGTACATATGACATATACATGTATTTCCATAACCTTGTCATAATAACACGTCTGTCTTAAGTGTCTCGATAAAGTTGGTGTCTAAATGATGGAACGTTGATAAGTTCTTCCGGGTCTGTAAGAGCGAACAATTCATGCACAAGAAATAAGGAAGATATTTCCCTAACCTTGTCATGATAACACGTATATCTCATGACGTGTCTCAATGAAGTTGGTGTGTTAATGACGGTATGTTAAAAAGTACATCTGTTCTATATGAGCGAAGAATTCATGCACAAGAAATATAGAAGATATTTCCCTAATCTTGTCATGATAACACGTATATCTCATGACGTGTCTCAATAAAGTTGGTGTGTTAATGACGGTGTGTTAAAAAGTACATCTGTTCTATATGAGCGAACAATTTATGCACAAGAAATAAGGAAGATATTTCCCTAACCTTGTCATGATAACACGTATATCTCATGACGTGTCTCAATGAAGTTGGTGTGTTAATGACGGTGTGTTAAAAAGTACATCTGTTCAATATGAGCGAAGAATTCATGCACAAGAAATAAGGAAGATATTTCCCTAACCTTGTCATGATAACACGTATATCTCATGACGTGTCTCAATGAAGTTGGTGTGTTAATGACGGTGAGTTAAAAAGTACATCTGTTCTATATGAGCGAACAATTTATGCACAAGAAATATAGAAGATATTTCCCTAACCTTGTCATGATAACACGTATATCTCATGACGTGTCTCAATGAAAGTTGGTGTGTTAATGACGGTGTGTTAAAAAGTACATCTGTTCTATATGAGCGAACAATTTATGCACAAGAAATAAGGAAGATATTTTCCTAACCTTGTCATGATAACACGTATATCTCATGACGTGTCTCAATGAAGTTGGTGTGTTAATGACGGTGTGTTAAAAAGTACATCTGTTCTATATGAGCGAACAATTTATGCACAAGAAATAAGGAAGATATTTTCCTAACCTTGTCATGATAACACGTATATCTCATGACGTGTCTCAATGAAGTTGGTGTGTTAATGACGGTGTGTTTAAAAAGTACATCTGTTCTATATGAGCGAACAATTCATGCACAAGAAATAAGGAAGATATTTTCCTAACCTTGTCATGATAACACGTATATCTCATGACGTGTCTCAATGAAGTTGGTGTGTTAATGACGGTGTGTTAAAAGTACATCTGTTCTATATGAGCGAAAAATTCATGCACAAGAAATATAGAAGATATTTCCCTAATCTTGGCATGATAACACGTATACCTTTTGAATTGTCTCGATAAAGTTGGTATGTTAATGACAGTGCGTTAAAAAGTACTTCTGGGTCTGTATGGGCGAACAATTCATGCACAAGAAATATTTCACTAATCTCGCCATGATAACACGTATGTCTTATGACTGACTGACTGAGTTTGGTTTTACGCCCGTATGTCTTATGAAGTGTCTGGATAAAGTTGGTGTATAAATGACAGTGTGTTAAGAAGTCCTTCCTAGTCTGTAAGAGCGAACAATTCATGCAGAAAAATGTAGAGTATGCCCTTATCTGGCCACGATAACACGCCCGCCTCTTAAATTGTCAACACAAAGTTTATGTGTTCGTGATATAAAAAAGTGCTTCCGGAAATATAAGAGCGAATAATGCTTTAACGATATTTGCGTGTAATTAATTTGGATGTCTGTATATCTGCGTGTATGTATACATACCTCGTAGATACATACATTATGTATTACACGTTCGAGTATGTTTGCTGCATAAGGATCCAAAGAGGAAAGCTGAATATATAAGTATGTTAACTGTTCGATCCGTGCAGTCTGACATATACCCGTGAAGATCCGTGTTGGAACTGATCTTCAGTATAACCCTTGCTTGTCGTAAGAGGCGACTAACGGGAGTCGCCTCTTATACAACAAGCGGCGGTGGGGTAGCCTAGTCGTCACGCCGAAGACCCGGGTTCGATTCCCCACACGGGTACAGTTTGTGAAGCCCAATTCGTGTGTCCCCCGCCGTGATATTGCTGGAATATTGCTAAAGGTGACGAAAAACTAAACTCAGTCAGTCAGGCAGTCAGTATACGACAAGCATGGGTTACTCAGGATCAATTCTTACTCGCATCTTCACGGGTACGCAGCCAATTTGAAAAAAAACAACAAAAGTTGGACATTTTGATGACAATCCGTCTCTTTAGTTACAGTTTACAAACTGTTTCATTAATCGTTGTTTGGGCCATGGAGAAGTCAAGATAGGCATCCGCCCGTCATTTCGGTAAATGTATAGTTAGTGAGTGAGCATAAGTATGGTTTTTACGCCGCTTTTAGCAATATTCCACCAATATCACGACAGAAGACACCAGAAATGGGCTTTACACATTGCATGCATGTTGGGAATCGAACCGGGGCGTTCGGTGTTAACTACAAGCCTACCCCTCAACTTGTCTGTCTTACAGACCCTGAAACAAATATATCCAAGAAAGCCCACGCAAGTCTAGATTTCCACAATTTCAGTTTCTGAAAATGAAGAAAGTCTCTGGACTCCTTTTCATTCAATATTATGATTATTTTTTATGAACATTTTTTTCTGTAAAATATGTACAATTAAGAGACTAGATGATAGTCTACCCCTCCACCAAAGACGTATGAAGCACTGGTTCGGCATCACATCTGCAGATGGTAAAAAATGTAAGACCATAGCTCTCACTTTCACTGCTTACCAAATGGATTCATAGTAAAATATCCCACAAAATAATTATGAATATGTTACAATTTCCTAGAATGTATGCACTCTGGAAACTTATATTTGACACAAGGTACAATCTTCTTTCGTTAACTTATTCTGCAATCGAAAAATCACTCGAATCTAATGAATCCGGAAGTAAAATCGATGTAAAGGCCGTTTATAGGGCCCATATACCAGAACCTTCGAATCTACTTCCGGGGTCAGATGCGTGTTATATCGTTAACTTAATCAATGGTATAGCTGGTATTCAACTTTTTTTTGTGTCTTCCGCACTCACTCACTTACTCAATTCAACATTTAAAAAAAAAAAGTTGCGTCTGTTCAACCTGCAAAATTGTCAGTTCCGAATGTCCGGTCAATTCCTGGCTCTACAATTCCATTGTAACACCAGAACAGCATGGACGTATCACAAAGGTTAAACTGGAAATAGTTAACGGAAGTTCTCATGAAGTCATTTATTCTGAGAGAAGTGGAACAGATGAAGTTTTGGTCTTAACAGCAAACATGCTTTAAGTTATTTTAAGTTTCATTTTTCAGACACGTACGCACCGTTTCAAAATTTTCAAGAGCCCGTTATATTTTGACAGACATAATATTACACTGTAAAATCGATAATGATATTCAGTATTTGCCATTTTATCACAAGCGAATGAATTTATTAATTAAATTGTAAATTCATGCAGCACAACCCAAAACCTTGAATATTTTCCAATTTTATTCAAGTGATTAATATGAGCCGGAAACGGATCTTTCCGATTAATTACTGTTGAGAGTAACTCTAGGTGCGTGACTACTTGAGTTTCGAAGTCTGCGCAGTGTTATATACGGAAACATATATCTACTTCAACAGATTAATTTAATCAAGCGGGCCCTCGATCAATACTTGTAAGGAGTTGTCAGCAGGGGAGGTAACTCTCATCATGTACCCCACAGGGTCTTCACCATCAAACGAACCTCGAAAAGCATGGACGGAAAGATGAGTTTGTTCGAGGACGCAAAGACGTAGGCTAAAGAGGGTCCGTCTTTGTCATTTCTCCCTTTCGATCTGCAGTTTGAGACAAAGGGGTGAACTGCATATAGAAACTGAGCTGAACTTCACCATGTAGTCAAATGATAGCGAGCTGGAGGGACAAATCTTGTTTAGAAACGGAATCTCAATGTTGACCAACTGGTCACTTCCGTAGTTCGATGTTTCTGAACTTGCACTGTGGTAAAATGGCTTTTCAGCTAAGGAGTATCTGCCGGAAGCGCGGCATATGCAAATGTCTGTGTTATGCATTTTTGGTGATTGTTGTTGTGGAGGTCGTGGTGTTCAACGCTCTGGTGTTTGTGGCGTTGATGTCGGTGAAGAAGGAGTTGTCAACGATACTGGACGCTCCAGGAAATTCCCTCATGGACAAGTTAATGAATAATAGGAAATTTCAGGTAAAAGGAAGATTTTATTTATGTGCTTTCCCCCCTCACTGTTTTATAGGTGTCTTTGTTTCACCGGAGCTCATCTTTTATCGAAATCTAGATTTTGTGCACTTCTCTACTCAGACTGACAGGGGTAGGGCTGTCTAAAAAGATCAATAATACGAATTATTGTCAGGGGAATTATTTTGAACGATTATCGATATAACTATGTGTCATCAATAATGTCTTGTAAATTATTGTGAGGAAATAGCGTTTTAATTTGCACCGTGACACAATATAGAAAATTGTGTCTTCTGTCAAGGGTTTCTTTTTTATTTTCAGAATGCTGTTTGTTTTATTAAGTCATGCATAAATGTTTTACCACTCACAAATGACATGATATATGCTGATTGTTTTTGTCTTTTTACGCTGTTTTTGCTCAAAGTAAATTCTCCAATTGTTGTTAATAAAGGATCAGGGGTGGTGGGGTAGCCTAGTGGTTAATAAAGCGGTGGCTCGTCACGACGAAGACTCGGGCTCGATTCCCCACATGGGTACAATGTGTGAAGCCCATTTCTGGTGTCCCCTGCTGTGATATTGCTAGAATATTGCTAAAAGCGGCATTAAGCCATATTCACTCACTCACTTATATTTATTTATTAGATAACGGTTATCAATCTCAGTGTTCTATACTGATTGCCAACTATAGCTTTACAAGTTTAATCAACCAATTATTTTGAGTTAAGAGACATAGATTATCGTTTCATTAATAGAGTATCCATCTACTCAGATATCTATGACTATTTGCATATTTATCCTTTTAGCCAGTGGATACCTGATTCAGAATTGGGCTTCAACAACCCGGCTATGTGGCTCCACCCATGCTTGTCGTAAGAGGTGACTAATGGGATTGGGTGGTCAGGTTCGCTAAAATGGTTGATACATGTCATTGTATCCCAATTGCGCAGATCAATGCTCATGCTGTTGATCACTGGGTTGTCTGGTCCGGAGTCGGTTATTTACGCTAATATTACAGACCATCACCATATAGCTGGAATATTGCTGAGTGCTGGATTAAACAACAAACAAACAAACAAACAAACATGTTGAAGCCCAATGGAAAAGGAGCAGTACAGTCATTTTGATGTGTAAAGATAAATTATCACACTCCTCATTGTCATCTGTGTGATTATATAAAAAGATTTGTTAATCACAAAGAAAGGATTTCATTAGCTTAGAGTGGACCAGCTGATTTTAGAATAGGCTGGCTTGCTTACGAACAAGAGAAACATTTGACCTTGAATGCTTCCGTGAGCGGGAAACGGTACTTGTATCAACACTCCACATGCAAGTTTCATGGTGTCTTATGTTTGAACTTCTGTTTATGTAATGACCATTCTTTGATTAACACTGAATATGTAGATCAGATATGTAGATCAGATATGTACACATATATATAATTGTGAGATATGTTGATGGCCATTTCTGTCTCTATGTCATCATTACATCATTACACCACTCATAAGCCTAGTAGTTAAAGCGTTTGCCCGTGACACTCACTCACTCACTCACTCACTCTCTCTCTCGCTTGCTCATACATAAACTCAATGATGTTGAGGGAGATGGTGAACCCCATTTTCCCCTCATCTCATAGCTCTTGAGGGGCGGTGGGGTAGCCTAGTGGTTAAAGCGTTTGCTCATGACACCAAAGACCGGGGTTCGAATCCTCACATGGGTAGAAAGTGTGAAGGCCATTTCTGGTATCCCCCACCTTGATGTTGGTTTAAATTTTACTAAAAAGTGGCATTAAACCATTCTCACTATTCTGTGATTGAATATTTATTGCAGGAACTGGTGGATGTGGGCCGGAATGGAGGATTTGCCAAACTGATGGAGGAAACGGTCGGTCGAATGTACATTGTATCGAATCCAAGCGATCGGGGCAACAAACCATCCCAGCCACAGCTGAGTTTCCTAGGAATCGACGTGTCAAACGCTCGTGAAGCCACGTACCTGTATCGACGTATACAGTCTCGGCCAGACTTCCCCTACACACGTCTCATTGTTGACATTGGCGCCAATGACGGCCTTGTTTCCAGTAACTCGTTTAACTTTATTCAGTGGGGATGGAGCGCGATACTCGTTGAGCCTCAGTCACATGAAATGAGCTTGGCAAAACTAAACAACAAGAGGTACAGTACATTTTGTCTGAAAACTGATTATTGCTTGAAAATTGAAATTTGGACATTTTACCCTAAAGAGACCCTAAATTCATTTTAGCCTTCAAAAGGCCCTAATTGCCATTTATTTCCCCTAAAAAGCCCCATATTTAGCACAACTTGTCAAGTTATGATTTTACAGGAATCTAATGCATTATAAAAATGCCTTGCCATGACAGTGGATGTTAATCTCCATCACAAAGCAAAACTTTCCCAGTGCAGCGATGTAGCTAAGAGTTATTTCCCTTTGATGGTCTGTCCCACATTTGACAACCTTGTGTATATTCAACTACTTGTGTGTTATATGTGTTTCCATGATTCCCTAAAATTGTCGACTGGGTCTTTAAAAGCCCCTTAAAAGGCCTGAAATTGGATGGGTGATAATCTGTATGTGCCCTGGGTACATTTTTTTGGTCTTTTATGTTTAAAGGTGATTTTTTCCTTGAGAAGGATTTTCATTGTGTCAGTTGGTAAAGATATCTCTGAGACATAATTATCAGTGTGTTCACTGTGTTGGGATGTAGGTTCATGTTATTTGTTTTTTAGTGCCAATCTCAGGGATATTAGCAGTCTGTAAACAATTGTAACTAGTGATTGACAGCATGAGCATCTATAGTCCGTTTGGCTCAAAAGCAGACCGATGAATTGCAATCTAACTCGAAAACTAATAAACATAAAATACTTAATGAAACGCTGATCATAATCAAAACATCATACCCACTCTGTGAGGTTTTTGCAGAATTTTTGTCCTAAAAATAAAAAAGTTGTTTAACAAACTATCATTAAAATATTGACACAGTTCACTGTTTGTTATGAGGGAGGAGTGCAGAGAAAGGGACAGCCAGGTGTTCGAGTAGCACGTTCACAGACAAAGTTATTTATTCATTAACCTGTGCTGTGCCGTCTCCATCAATTCTCGAACACCTGGCTGTCCCTTTCTCTGCACTCCTCCCTCGTAACAAATAGTGAACTGTGTCAATATTTTAAAGATAAATTGTTAAACAACTTTTTTATTTTTAGGACAAAAATTCTGCAAAAAGTTCACAGAGTTGGTATGATGTTTTGATTATGATCAGTGTTTCATTGAGTATTTTATGTTTATTAGTTTTCGAGTTCGATTGCAATTCATCGGTCTGCTTTTGAGCCAAACAGACTTTAGTAAGTACTTCTCCAAGAAAGGGTAGTCCGAAATATAGCATGTTACAGACCACTTTTCAAAGGCATTGTGTTTACACAATGTGGACACATCTGTTTAGAATTTTGTCAACTTACTACGATGTAATTTGTAAAGCAAATGAAGAATGTTTAACATAAAACTTATGTTATCATTTTCTCAAAGCCATTTTGTATTCATAACTGAGACCTGTCTGTGGAATTTGCTTATCTGACAATATCAAGTAAATGAAGAATTTTGTTAACTCTATTCAAGGTATATTTTCATGTCTTTTTCTCCGGTCTGTTTTCAGGAATTTTGACCCTTACAATGAGGGTAAACAGAACCTGACGCTAGTTCAAGGAATATTGTCTGACAAAGATGGCATGGTAGACTTTGTGTTGTCGAGTTCTGTGGACAAAATGGAGAGCCATGCCATGAAGAATTTCCAATATGAACAGGCCAAAAACACAAATCCATTCATTGTGAAGGTGCCTAGTCTCACTGTCAGAACATTTGCAAGGAGATACAATGTGCCAAAGATGTTTGGAGTTCTCTCCCTTGATGCAGAAGGTTTGGGAGATAAGGTAATTTCTGCTTTGAGTGAGTGAGTTTTACGCCACTTTTAGCAATATTCCAGCAATGTCACGGCGAGAAACCCCAGAAGTGGACTTCATATATTGTACCCATGTGGGGAATCGAACGCAGGTGTTCGCTGTGACAAGTGAACACTACCCCATCGCCCCTTTCTTCTTTGAAACACAAATATGTCCCATATCTACTTTTTAATGTCTGTTTTTCAATCTCATTAACATCCGATCTTAGTTGTCACTACCCCTAAACAACATTCTGAGAAGTCTTATTATCAACGCCACGAAGCCTGCACGAGAGGATGGGGACAGATTTTCTCAAAAAGATTATAGATCTAAATAGGAAAAGCAAATTTGGTATGTGTTTTCAGGACACATATGCCTTGATGGAGTTTGAAAATGGAAACCATGTTATAAATTGTTACAGACTTATGGCCCTTGTCATGCGTTTCTTGAATTAGTTCATGGTATCCCCAATGGGGACATATTTTCTTAGTAACCGTTATAGAAGGGAAACCAAATGTGGTATGTGTTTTCAGGACACGAATGTCGTGGTGGAGTTAGAAAACAGGAACCAAAATAGGAACAGAACACCATGGCGGGAGATATTGACGACCATGTCTTCTTTTTCCAGATTTTTTTCTGTTTTGTTTTGTGGGTTTTTTAAAAGAAAATTAATAATCAGAACAACCTGTATACTTGGACTCTTGTCTGCAAGAAAAGGTTGCTTCGTTCATTGTAAGGGACCGTTCATAATTTATGGCAAGAGGGGGTGATGATGATTTTAGGGGGGGGTCACCCATTTTGTTCTGAGGAGAGGGGAAGGGTCATCAAATTTGTACACATGTACTAGAGGAGGTCAGCAATTTTGTACACAAAAATATAAAAAAAAATTATGCTAAAAAATATGGGAAAGGGAGGGAGGGTCACTGATTTTGTACATGACATGCTTGAGGGTGGAGGGATGTGTGGGTATGTGACTACTTTGTAAATTTTTTAGGGGGTCACTCACATTGTACATGCTTCTCCATAAAAATCATCATCACACCCCCTTGCAATAAATTATGAACAGTCCCTAACTGATAACATCACAATTGACATCACGTTGCGATGCAGTTTCATGGCAAAGTTGTCTTCTGGGAAATATCACTTGATCTCCCACAAGCAATATCTCATTTTGAAGCCAGCTCAAAATGATACATTTTAAAGGAACTATTGTTTCACCTGTTTCATGTTGGTACATTGTGTTTCAGCTGTTGCACCAGTGGATGGACCTAGGCTTCAAGCCTGCATATATTATATATGAACAGCTTCATAACAGTGAACCAATCATCACCACTGTCGATTACCTGGAGGAAAAAGGATATCGCTATCTCAACAGACTGGGCTGGAACTATTTGTTTGAACACATGCCCTTCCCAGGAGAGGAAAATTGATTGTCAGCAGAATCTGATGTTTAATAGAATGCGAAAGCATATATTGCGATATGTATTGCAGTATATTGCAAGAAGTCTTTTTAAACAAAAAAACTATGTATAATTGAGTTAATGCTTGATTTATAAAGCAAAAACACAACAAAATCACAATGTTTGATTAAGCTTTAATGAAAACTTTCAATCATGACAAAATATAAATGTGAATAATATTTGGCACAAATGAAACAAGGAAATATCCGAAGATTTCTGAGTGTTACAAAGTTTTCCGAATGCATGTAAAAATACCGGTTTTCGATCAGCATATCGCAAAATGTATCGTTTCCATGTCTGAACCGGTAAATACCGGTAAACCGGTTATATTGCAGAGCCCTGTCTCTTTGTGACGATCTGAGGACACCTCTGTAGGTCACGTCATGTGAGTGAGTGAGTGAGTGAATGAATGAGTGAGTATATTCTTAGGCCGCTTTCATCTATATTCCATTTATATCACACTAGGGGAAAAAGTAATGGGCTTCACACATTGTACCCATGTGGGGAATTGAACCCGGGTCGTCGGAATGACGAGCGAACACTTTAACCACAAGGCTACGCCACCCCTACACGTCATGTGAACTATGATCGAACAATCCAAGTAATCAATGGTTCATGAGCCAATCAGATGTCAGCTTTCTAAACTAATTATGTTTCATCCTGCCTTGCTGGAACTTCAACATGTTCACTATAAGGCATTTTTTTCCCACAGAGGTTACTTGTCATATCTTCCTACGAACCTCTGTTCTAATACGGCCCTTTCATGGTGCGAGTGTTCAGGATTCGTGATTGGTTGCAATCAGTTTTAGTTGTGCAATCAGCGACGTTGTTTCAAAAGTTATCATTCGCAAGGCCTCAGTAATTTCCGTATGCTTTGGGAAAACTAGAACCTCTTCCCCTGCGCGATGCGCAAAAGTTTCTTTTAGACAGATCTCAGTCATGTAATGGCGGATCAATGGCGTCTCCATTGCCCTCGTTGACAATGGACAAGCTGGCCAGTAAATGTCTTGTGTGTCACATCAACACAAGTCCCCGGCAGAGGGGGGATATTTGTGGCCCCACATTTGCTTGTATTAGTCAAGTTGGATCTAAGTCGATGTAATACATGTTCTGATTGGATAGAAAGAAGGGAGATAATACGTGTTGCGATGTTTTGCGGCTAGGGGATTTTACGAGAACCGGGATATGGCCGTATTAGAACAGAGGTTCGTAGGAAGATATGACAAGTAACCTCTGTGGGAAGAGAATGACTATAAGGCTGTCCAACTTTGTCTCTGTTTTTCATCTGACCGTCTCCGTGGTGTAGTGGTTAGAGCGTCCGTCCGGAGAGCAGAAGGTCGCAGGTTCAATCCCGACCGCGTCATACCAAAAGACGTTAAAATATGGTACTTGTTGGTCCCTGCCTGGCGTTCGGTATTAATGGGTACAACAAAGACTGGTCAGCTCGGAGTCGGTATAGTGTGTCTGAGTGGGGTATTCATGCTTCACTGTGGCATGGTATCTCAGTGGGGTAGCACTATAAAACCAGCTTAAGTCTGGGCTAGTACAAGCAGCCGCACATACACATACACACGCATGCACGTCGTCATATGAGCGAAATGTTCCCAAGCACGACGTTAAACCCAATTTCACCTCACCTCTGATTGGATAGAAAGAAGGGAGATAATACGTGTTGTGATGTTTTGCCGCTAGGGGATTTTACGAGAACCGGGATATGGCCGTATTAGAACAGAGGTTCGTAGGAAGATATGACAAGTAACCTCAGTGGGAAGAGAGTGACTATAAGGCTTTCCAACTTTGTTTCTGTTTTTTTATCTCCTGCCTGCCCTGAACTTTCTTTCTGACGTTAAACAATACAAACTTTTCCTATCACAATTTTCCCCGCTGCTGTGAAAATTTATCCCCCAATTAGAGAGCTTCATCTTTCTTTATTAAAAAACAGTTACTAAAGCAGTGCGATTGAAAGACTAATAACAAGTAATATAGATTTGAGTAATGTAGAAAAATATCAATGAATTAACCTAAAGAAAAACAGTGTGCAATTATACCCCAAATAATATTCACTTCGAATTTAGATGGCGTGGTCCTCAGAAATGACAGGATTCAGTGTGTAAAATATCTTCAACACTATAATTGCTTGGCTTATTCACCTTCGTGTTTCCTGGATTGTACTGGTGGCGAGATGAATGTTCACTGAACAAGACATATCGTGGGTAGTTCCTCAGATCTTTACATCTTGTTCAGCTTGACCTGATCAAGTGAATACTAATGCAATGCGTGACTGTGTCACAACTGGTTGGGTCTATTATTGTGAAGGGGTGCACCTTTGTAAGTTGATTGTCAACATGTCCGAACAGTCGAGACAAAGGTCGCCATTTGACATCTTGGCGAAATCGAAATGCGTCAGCAATGTCCTAACTTTCTTTAAAAAAGAAGCTGCAGATGGTTTAATGTTTCCGAATCGGGCTTTTAGGGGAAGCGAGCAGCAGCAGCGACGTTAATAACATTTTCTGCTCCCCTACTTAATGAAGTTAAGTCGACCTGCCATTTGTGCCATTTGACCTCCCGGGTCATGCATATGTAGAGTAGCTCAGGTCAAGCTGAACAAGCTGTAGGCAGGGAGTTTCAGAGAAATATATGGGATTTTATTGAGCCTGCCTTATAATCAGATGACAGTGGTGATTTGTCCAAGGAGAAACAGTGATAAGATGATATCCAGTTAAACAGTGATATAGAGATTATTGTCACAATGACTTGTCATATGACTTATCCGAAGCGTGTGAAATTTTGTATTGCCCGAGCGAGAGTGAGGGCATACACAATTTTGCACGAGTTTCGTATAAGTCTTGTGGCACACTTGCGAGTGTAATAATTTCTTTATTATCCATTTTATTCATGTTCGTTTGTGCAGTAAAACACGGTAAGCAAGTGTGACTGCCCTGTTCATTGATGTCACATTCAATTGTTTAATGATGTCACATACGTCGAAATATAGAAACAATGGTTGCTAGGCAAAAGTGATATGTGCACATGTGTACATATGATATATATGACACTGGTTATGTTTCACCATATGGATAATAAATGATGATATCCAATGGGAAACGGTGATATGATGATATCCAATGGGAAACGGTGATATGATGATATCCAATGGGAAACAGTGTTATGCTTGTGTTGAATGATAATCAACCTTTGATGTGTTGAATGGTGCTCAGTCATAAGATGAGATGTTGAATGATAGATATTGTGTTGAATGATGAACTCTATGTTGAATGATATGTTGAATGATGAACTGTCACGATATGTTGATGAATGGGTGTCATCTTTTGATTTATGAAGAGATAAACTGTCGCCATCTATTCAGTGGTGAATAGTCACCATCTGTTTCTTGTTGAATGGTGAACTGTTGCCATCTGTTTCTTGTTGAATGGTGAACTGTAGCCATCTGTTGATTAGTTGAATGGTCACCATCTGTTTACATTTGAAAAGGTCACCATCTGTTGATTAGTTAAATAGTCTCTATCAGTTTATTACAAAAGTCGCATCTGTTGAATGCATGGTCACATCTGTTGATGTATTGAATAATGATAAACTGTCATCTGTTCATGTGTTGAATGACGACTGCTCCTTTATTATGTAATTATCATGAAGGTTGTCTAATGCAATGTTCTTCATCAGATGAATGAATAATCACATCCATCAACCAGGTGTCATGAATTCTAGGATGTATGTATACACTTAGCATTTGAGTATTGTTGGTGCTCACAGATCTGTTAATCTCAACTTTTCCCTAAATCAGATCAGGTCACAGGTTGATATTGTTTTATTCCTGTTGCCATGTAAATGTTCCTGCTTCATAATTCAAATTTCTTATGTGTACAAGTACTTGAAGATAAAACCGTTTTCATTCCTAATAACCAGTTTGGTACCCCTAACAATCCTGTTTACGGATAATACCGTTTTTATTCCTAATAACCAGTTTGGTACCCCTAACAGTCCTGGTTACGGATAATACCATTTTCATTCCTATTTATCAGTTTGATACCCCCTAACAATCCTGTTTATGGATAAAACCGCCTCCGTGGTGTAGTGGTTAGAGCGTCCGCCCGGAGAGCGGGAGGTCGCGGGTTCGATCCCCGACCGCGTCATACCAAAAGACGTTAAAATATGGTACTTGTTGGTCCCTGCCTGGCGCTCGGCATTAATGGGTACAACAAGGACTGGTTGACTCGGAGTCAGTATAATGTGTCTGAGTGGGGTATTCATGCTTCACAGCGGCATGGTATCTGATTGAGCTAGCACTATAAAACCAGCTTCAGTCTGGACTAGTACAAGCAGCCGCACATACACATACACACGCATGTACGTCGTCATATGAGCGAAATATTCTCAAGTACGACGTTAAACCCAATTTCACCTCACCTCCCCTGTTTATGGATAATACTGCTTTCATTCCAAACAACCAATTTGATACACCTAATAATCCTGTTTACATTCTAGTCAGATAATATGACTTTGCCATTTATGTCAATCTGATAAACATCAATATTCATGCTCCTTACTGATAGCAACGATCTGAAGACATCCTGTTATAATGATTATAGGTCACATCAGAATGATGTTTCAAGAACTTTGATAGAACAATAAAAACAAGTTTACATTGACCAATCAGAATGTATTATTCTTGAGAACTTCCAGAAGACACTTTGGGAACTATTGCTTTAAAATTTGAAAATTCTATTTTAAAAATCCTGGAATGTCTTAGTTGATAATAATAATAATATATAGAGATTTATATAGCGCCAATATCCAGATGAGTCCTGCTCAAAGGCGCTTTCTTATGAGTCTGACGAGGAAAGAGTCGCTCGGAACTGTAACATGATTTGAAAAAGAATGTTTAATGCACTTTTAATGCCCAATGGGATGTTGTTCCAAACCATAGGACCTGCTTTTGAGAAACATCTGTCTCCAAATGTCTTTGTCCTAGCGTTTATTGCATTAATTTCCATGAGAAAGTTTCTTCACTTTCAAATTTTTATCGCATGGAAGTGAGAAATAAGTGATGCTTTTGACAGAATCAATCATACATTCAAAA